TTGTATGTTTAGTAAAAGTATTGTATGTTTAGTAAAAGTATTGTATGTTTAGTAAAAGTATTGTATGTTTAGTAAAAGTATTGTATGTATGGAACTTCATGGAGTTGGATTATGGATAGTACAACAAAATTCTGCTGTAGTTCATCTCTATAATACTAAATCAAGGTATGTTTAGATACAAAGTTTTATTGGCTTTTACTTTTAATTCTTTAAATGGTTTTAGATGTTTTGATCAAATTATGTAGATATTATTCTTTAGATAATTACCCTCTTTGATTATTTAATATCATAAGATCTTAAAGATGATCTGATTTGAAGAGATAGAGTATTTGATTGGTGTCTTCTGATTGGTGTCTTCTGATTGGTGTCTTCTGATTGGTGTCTTCTGATTGGATCGACCTTTCAAGATTTAGGGTTGTACGCTAAGAATGAGACTGTAAAGACGACTGAAAACTCTAAAAATATGACAATCTCATAATTAGTTTCATTCTTCTACCTTGCATACAGTTGAATATAGTTCAAATATAGTTCATGTTCTGTACATTCTTCTACCTTGCATACAGTTGAATATAGTTCAAATATAGTTCATGTTCTGTACATTCTTCTACCTTGCATACAGTTGAATATAGTTCAAATATAGTTCATGTTCTGTACATTTGTCTCGGCAGTCTCATCCTTCGTAGTTAACCCTGAATAAGATGAAAGATCAGAGTAAAGACCATTTAATAAAGATGCTTAGTTGATCAATTACGGATTAATAGGACTGTAAACGTAATATCAATTGAACCTCCTTGCCCGATTTACAACGTTACCCTTGGAAGCCTAATCTGATCAAAAATGTGGAAGATAACTTTGTTTTTCGGAGTGAAAAAGTGTTGATTCTCTGATAATTTCTCCACAAATGAAAATAAACAGTTCCAAAATTAAAATCAGTATTTAATCAATAAAAATTGTAATTTAACTGTTTAGGGTATTCCTGCTGGAGGTAAACCTAACAGCAACAGTTTCAAAAATGTTGGCCAGCTGTGATGATATTATAAGGTAAATTTTTTTAAAATACAGGGTGTCCCACGACACATGACAATAGGAAGACGACTTGAAAGTCGTCTTTGGTATTTGAATTTATTTGTGACATTTAGTCTGCTATCTACTTTAACGTGCATGATTCTTGAAACAATTATCACATAATTCTCCTAGCCCTGGCATTTCCAAAAAGTGGTCTGCGTTTTTTGTGCTTTCAATATTACCGGAGATATAAAGAGTTTGGTTCAGATTTCAATTTTGTTAAATAAAAGCAAAATTGTCGAAATCTGAACGAAATTCTTCATATCTCGGGCAATATTGAAAGCACAAAAAAGGCAGACCACATTTTGNCCGAAATTAATGTTAATTCCTTGTCCAGCTACAGCTTTTACTTTTGGGAGACTATTACCGAGGAAATAAGTACAAGGGGTGTCCCACGAAACATGACAGTAGCTAGAGATGACTTGAAAGTACATGGGGTGTCCCACGAAACATGACAGTAGCTAGATGACTTGATATTCTTCTTTTATTCAGTCGATCGTCAACCTACTGTAACATGTATAATTCTGAAAGCAACACAACACAACACCGAAGATCTTAAGAATCCTCAAGTCGTCTTGCTATTGTCATGTTTCGTGGCACACCCTGTACTAAAAAAGTTTTAAAGTTGATTAACAGATTCTGTACACAAACACGACCTTAACATTAAAGGGAGTGTTCGCGAAAAATGAAATTGTATGAGTCGTTTTTTTAACAATTTTCTCCTTATAGACGCAACAGATGTAAATTAGTAGCGATCAAAAGTGGTTTCCGTAAGCCTAAATCCCCTTTAATTTTTCGCAAACATTTACTTTAACATTAAAAAATAATTTCCATCAAGGATTCATACTTGGATTTAAGCTGTATATGTTTTATGCGCTGGATAATTTGGAAAATTGAAAATAATTTAAAGTGATAAATAAATAGTTTAATATTAATAGAGTTGTTTTAACAGGAGTCATTGTAACAACAGCAATACCGATGTTGACAGAAACAACAACAAAACTACACTCCGTTCCACAGCTGTCAGGTACTGTTGTTAATAGAAACAACAACAAAACTACACTCCGTTCCACAGCTGTCAGGTATAATACTGTTGTTAATAGAAACAACAACAAAACTACACTCCGTTCCACAGCTGTCAGGTATAATACCGATGTTGACAGAAACAGCAACAAAACTACACTCCGTTCCACAGCTGTCAGGTATAATACTGTTGTTAATAGAAACAACAACAAAACTACACTCCGTTCCACAGCTGTCAGGTATAATACTGTTGTTAATAGATAGAAACAACAACAAAACTACACTCCGTTCCACAGCTGTAAGGTTTAATACTGTTGTTAATAGAAACAACAACAAAACTACACTCCGTTCCACAGCTGTCAGGTATAATACTGTTGTTAATAGAAACAACAACAAAACTACACTCTGTACCACAGCTGTCAGGTATAATACTGTTGTTATAGAAACAACAACAAAACTACACTATGTACCACAGCTGTCAGGTATACTACAGTTGTTAATAGAAACAACAACAAAACTACACTCTGTACCACAGCTGTCAGGTGTAATACTGTTGTTATAGAAACAACAACAAAACTACACTTTGTACCACAGCTGTCAGGTATACTACAGTTGTTAATAGAAACAACAACAAAACTACACTCTGTACCACAGCTGTCAGGTATACTACAGTTGTTAATAGAAACAACAACAAAACTACACTCCGTTCCACAGCTGTCAGGTATAATATTGTTGTTAATAGAAACAACAACAAAACTTCACTCTGACGATGTTTAAGTAACGCACCATTTCAAAAGTTACTTGACCTGATTCCCAACAGGGTTTAAAAGTTAAATCCAAGCAAATATAATGAAGACGTCGTTGCTATTCTATCTTTTAAATCATGGTCTTTAATCGCGGATTCTCTTTAAAAATGACTTTCGAATTTTACAAGACACAAGAAAGAACACCGACGATATCTTTCTCATTACTATTTTTCATAATGTGCATGCAAAGGACAACTTTGTGGGAGAGGGCATGTGCAGATATTAAAAATGGTTACGTTTTAATGAGTTTTAATGAGATGCATTTCAAGTTCATTTCATTTTTTTTATGAAATATAGGATTACTCACAATGGAAAAGACTTCAAAGACAACTGTTTGTTATTTATACCGTCTGTTTCCTTAAATATATGATTCTCTGCAACTGTAAACTGGTTTTATTCTTTATCAAAGCATTAAATATGCAATTAAAACTCATATTCAATGCAGAAGACCTGAATGAAACTTGAAAGCGTCTCAAATCGTCTTTACAGTCTCATCTTTTGTGGGTAACCCTGTATTTTATTTATTAGGTGTACATCATGGCCACACTGGGCATGTACGGTTCCTGACTAGTGTACAGATGGGCGCGGCTGGGTCCGAGGAGAGAGGCGTGGCAGAATCAAAGGAGAGGGGCGTGGTTCCACCAACTGAAGGAGAAACTACGCAAAAAGGGGAAAACCTGAATGATGATAAAGGTAGAATTAATTTTATTTGGTTTGGTGAAAGCTAAATTTTTAACAGCAAACGAAGAAAAAATTTAAGGAAGTAGAAAGATGAAGGGAAGGCCAAAATCATATTCTCTTTAAACAAATTTGAAATCTTTATTAGTTTAATTAAAAATTGACGAATAAATTAGGTATTTAGATAATTTGTTTCATAAAAATCAGGACCATATTTTTTATATCTCTGTAGGCATTTTTAAGATACAAAATGGCAGCCCACGTCTTAGTTTTTTATGTGTATTGTGTACAAACCGTGTAGATCGAAGACGATAAAAACTCGCTACTTAATCACAATTTTTATTGGGTCACCTTGTATCTAAAATTTCCTTTTAGGATGTATTTCCGGCCGAGTACTTGTGATATCTGGTGGGGATGGTTATGAAGATTTTAGTTCTAGCTCTACCTCTGATCTAGCTGGTAGAGAGGATTCAACCAATCATCTTCTACTCTGGAGTGTTTAATTCTAGTTTAGTTCTAGTTCTAGTTCTAGTTCTAGTTCTAGTTCTAGTTCTAGTTCTAGTTCTAGTTCTAGTTCTAGTTCTAGTTCTAGTTCTAGTTCTAATTCTAGTTCTAGTAGTTCTAGTAGTTCTAGTTCTAGTTGTTCTAGTAGTTCTAGTTCTAGTTCTAGTTCTTTATTTATTTTCATTTTATTTTTTATTTTGAGTCAAACCATCAATGATTGCTTTAAGTTCTTGTTCGTCAATCCGGTTCCGGACTATCTTTACTCAGTCATAATTATTTTAAAGATGTTGTGTAAATTCTGAGAAAAACGATTATCCAGAATATGTACAAAAAGACATTGTCTATTGTTTTCGAAGGGCTGTAAAAATCTAAATCTAGATGTAACAGGATTTTTTGTATTTAGATTTAAATCTAAAAATACACAGCCTCACATTTTACAATTTTCCATTGATTTTATATATTTGGAAAAAAGCAGTATTGTCACAAACCTAAATTGTTAAGTATAAATCCTTGTCTTGACGTTTAAAATCATTGTTTCATAACTTACTATGAGAAGTGTGCATAAGTCAAACAATTTTGGAGTTAAAAAACGAAGAGTTAAACAATTTAAACAAATTGAAAACAAACGAGAAAAATAACGTCTTTTAGAATTGATATTTACGATTTAAAAGAGATCATGCGAGTCTCCCTACATACGACAAATAAATCATTCAACAACAATTTTGGCAGTTTCATACAAACAGTATCAATCTATCACTATCAAGTACAGAATTATTCGAATATTAAAATTCATATTTCTAAGGTGAAAATAAAGATCATTCCATGAAACTACTACGAATTTAAATGAAAAATTTCACTATTAGAGAAAAACAGTGCTTAGGATCCGGATCCGGAGAAAAGTATGGATCCACGGATCCGGATCCTATGGCAAAATATCAACCAAAGCCAAAAAAGATTAACTCTAAGCACCATTAAAAAATGAGTTGTTATAAGTTATTTATAAAAACTTTCAAATCTTTAAAGGATTCCCTAAGTTTTAGCATGCAAATCCAAATGCAAATGCAAATGCAAATGCAAATGCAAATAAGCAAATATACAAATATACAAATATACAAATCAGCAAAATAAGAAGAAAAAATGTTGCAATTTTTCATTTCAATACAAAAATCAGTAAATCTTAAAGAACTGTTTAAAACCTGAATTAAGATCCATATTTTTCATGGCGGATCCAGATCTGTATCAAAATAAACTGGATTCTAATTAGCACTGAAAATCCATAACATTTTAAAGTCATCAAACTACAGAAAATGGGAGCACATTGGTCTAAATCGTAAGCAAAATGTATGAAATATGTTACATTTCGTAATTTCTAATGAAGTGTTCATTATCTCTAAATATCTTATATTACAAAGAAAATTATAATATTTCTTTCAACTAAATACAGGGTGTCCCACGAAACATGACAGTTGGTGAATAGTGTTCAATGTCGTCTTCCATCATACTGTACTAGTTATTTAAGACTTTTTGCAGTTTATTTCGTTTAACAAATCTTTTGCCAAAATATATATTTGTTTGAAATCAATTTTACTATAATATTAATACCATTTAGTATTTCTTATCATAATCTTTGATAACAAACAACTTATCAAATTATGGAAGAAGACATTTTAAACTATTCACCAACTGTCATGTTTCGTGGGACACCCTGTATGTGCGGAATTGCGAGGAAATTACAGAGCCTGCAAGTAAAATCCACTTGCATTAGAAACTCTAATATGGAGGGTAGAATAATTATGATTGACCCCTATAAATCTTAGAATAAGAAATAATAAAAATTTGGCTTCAGATTATTTAATGGTTGTTTATTAAAGAAACAGATAATTAATTAACATACTATATTTTATGATATTGATAATATTAGTACTTTTGTTGTAAACTTCGTATTTTTAAAAATGTTTGAATGTTAAGAATTTTAGGGAAGCCAAAACAAGGATGAGATCTCAAAATTCTCAAAACTCTCTCAAAACAAGAATGTAAAAGTAGTAATACAAGATTAGGAAATACATATTTTTCACATGCCTTAAAAAAAATACCAAAATATAGGAGACATCTGTCGTCTTAGTAGTCTCATCCTTTTTGGTCAACCCTGTCGATTTGAATCTGTATTTAATTCTTATTTTTAATAAATATTATTTTTGTTCTATAACAAAGTTTATTTGTCGAGTAAACGGATGACTAGTTATCCTATCATCATATTAGGGCATTCCTTGAATCTGGCATTATGAAAATACTCTCAGTTGATGGTAAAATAAATAATCAATTTTCTAAAGGAAGGGGGGTGGGGAGGGGTTTGTAAATTTTGAGATTAACCAAGATGGTCAATTTTAATTTTCAAAATCTATATCATAGAACACCTTTAAATTATCCTGTCATTGAATCAAAAAAATCAAAAAGAAGAGTAATAACTTAATTTTTAGCAATATTAAAAGTTTGCATTTATCCTTCAGAAACAATTTGGATAAAAAATAGTCAGAATTGGACGCTTTTCAAGTTTAAAAAAAAACGATATGCTACACGTTACAGTTGCAATCAGAGATGAAGGTTTAAATAATAGCGATATGTTCCACGATACAGTTGCAATCAGAGAGGAAGGTTTAAATAACGATATATTCCACGTTATAATTGCAATCAGAGATGAAGGTTTAAATAACAACGATATATTCCACGTTATAATTGCAATCAGAGATGAAGGTTTAAATATTAGCGATATATTCCACGTTATAATTGCAATCAGAGATGAAGGTTTAAATAATAACGATATGTTGCACATTATAATTGCAATCAGAGATGAATGTTAAAATAATAACGATATATTCCACGTTATAATTTCAATCAGAGATGAAGGCTTAAATAATAACGATATGTTCCACGTTATAATTGCAATCAGAGATGAAGGTTTAAATAATAACGATATGTTCACGTTATAATTGCAATCAGAGATGAAGGTTAAAATAATAAAGATATATTCCACGTTATAATTGCAATCAGAAATGAGGTTTAAATAATAACAGTATATTACACGTTATAATTGCAATCAGAGATGAAGGTTTAAAAAATAACTATATTTTCCACGGTACAGTTGCAATCAGAGATGAAGGTTAAAATAATAAAGATATATTCCACGTTATAATTGCAATCAGAGAATGAAGGTTTAAATAATAACAATATATTCCACTTTATAATTGCAATAAGAGATGAAAGTTTAAATAATAAAGATATGTTCCACGTTATAATTGCAATCAGAGATGAAGGTTTAAATAATAACGATATATTCCACGTTATAATTGCAATCAGAGATGAAGTTTTAAATAATAACGATATGTTCCACGTTATAATTGCAATCAGAGATGAAGGTTTAAAGAACAACGATATATTCCACGTTATAATTGCAATCAGAGATGAAGGTTTAAATAACGATACATTCCACGTTATAAGTGCAATCAGAGATGAAGGTTTAAATAATAACGATATATTCCACGTTATAATTGCAATCAGAGATGAAGGTTTAAATAACAACGATATATTCCACGTTATAATTGCAATCAGAGATGAAGGTTTAAATAATAACGATATATTCCACGTTATAATTGCAATCAGAGATGAAGGTTTAAATAATAACGATATATTCCACGTTATAATTGCAATCAGACATCAAGGTTTAAATAATAACGATATGTTCCACGTTTATAATTGCAATCAGAGATGAAGGTTTAAATAAAAACCATATATTCCACTTTATAATTGCAATCAGAGATGAAGGTTTAAATAATAACGATATGTTCCACGTTATAATTGCAATCAGAGAGGAAGATTTAAATAATAACGATATATTCCACGTTATAATTGCAATCAGAGATGAAGGATTAAATAATAACGATATATTCCACGTTATAATTGCAATCAGAGATGAAGGATTAAATAATAATGACATGTTCCACGTTTTAATTGCAATCAGAGAGGAAGGTTTAAATAATAACGATATGTTGCACGTTATAATTGCAATCAGAGAGGAAGGTTTAAATAATAACGATATATTCCACGTTATAATTGCAATCAGAGATGAAGGTTTAAATAATAACGATATATTCCACGTTATAATTGCAATGAGAAAGAAAGGGTTAAATAACAACGATATGCTACACGTTATAATTGCAATCAGAGAGGAAGGTTTAAATAATAACGATATTTTCCACGTTATAATTGCAATCAAAAATGAAGGTTTAAATAATAACTATATATTTCACGTTATAATTGAAATCAGAGATGAAGGTTTAAATAATAACGATATTCCATGTTTTAATTGCAATCAGAGATGAATGTATAAATAACAACGATATGCTACACTTTATAATTGCAATCAGAGATGAAGGTTTAAATAATAACTATATATTTCACGTTATAATTGCAATCAGAGATGAAGGTTTCAATAATAACGATATATTCCACGTTATAATTGCAAGGAATCGTAGACGCCGATATACTAATTCAGGTTTACTTAGCACATGTTTGCAGGCCCGTAGCTAGGGGGAGAGCACAGGGACATGTGCCCCCACCACTTTTCCCAGAAGAGTCCTGGGTACGTTGTCCACGAGACGAACAATTTTCGAACTCCCAGGATTTTGGAGTTGCTCCCAGGGTTTTGGAGTAAAATGTGAGAATTTATCCGACCTTTAATGAAAAGTCCCTTGAAAAGGGTACTTTAAAACCGAAAATTGAAAAAATGTCTCGGCTACTTTTTTACTGCCTTTGTACAGATATTTGCAGGAAAAAAAATTGCAAATTTCAGTCCAAGTAGCTTGTGGCGATCATTTAGTTTTGATTAGCCAAACTGACGACATTTGTTTCAGCTTCTACATTAAAATTATTGATAAATGTGAAATTTTTTGTTTAGCTAGATGCATAAAGGTTTAATTGGACCTGGTCTGATACATCTCAACATCTTTTTTCTAAGTTTATTTAAGATAAATCCAATTTTTCGCCTAAAAAAAATCTTTAATTGATTGTTGACATTCAAAAATGCGTGTTTACTCNATTAAAATGGCCCGCACTATGTCAAATTTAGAGCATTAAAATGGCCCGCACTATGTCAAATTTAGAGTATTAAAATGGCCCGCACTATGTCAAAATTATTGAGACATTTGAGAAAAACTAAATTTGACATAAAACAACTTTCATTTTGTGACTGTTGAGTAAAATCACATTTTTTAATGGTATGCACCAATCAATTAAAGATTTTTTAGGCGAAAAATTGGATTTATCTTAAATGAAAATTGGAAATAAGATAACAAGATGTTGAGATGTATTTGACCAGGTCCAATGAAAACTTAATGTATCTAGCTTAAAAAATATTTTTTTTTGCATTTACCAATAATCTTAAAATGTAAAAGCTAAAACAAATGTCGTTAGTTTGGCTCATCAAAACTATATGATCGCCACAAACTACTTTTTCCCTGAAAATATTAGAACAGACAGTAAAAAAGGGGTAACAAAGCCCATTTTATCAAAGCCCTTTTTAAAGGACTTTTCATAAAAGGCCGGATACATTTTACTCATAAACCCTGGAAGCAACTCCAAAGCCCTGGGAGCAATTCCAAAACCCTGGGTGCACTCCAAAACCATGGGACCACTTCCAAAACTCTGAGAGCAGCCACCCCTCCCTCGATGAAATATATTCGTCTACCCCCGACCCACAAATAAAGTCACAAAATAATTTTAAAGTTTCTCTTTGTTAACACGTTTTGTTCCTGAGAAGACCAGAGCTGAGAATTCTTGTATCGTGAATATCAAGATTAATGCTGGATCTCGAAGTTTTGTTAATCTGCAGATTAATTTAATCATCTTATTCGGTAATCGTTAATCGGTAATCGTTAATCGATAATCGGTATCCCGCATGGTAGTCGTATCCAGTCAGGTGTTAAACAGAGTTTTGATCAAGGGAGGAGTAACTAAAATGAAGATATGAAAAGGTTAAGTTTTTTTTTTAGATCCATAAACTAAAAGTGCTTAAAGTGAATATCGAGCTTAAGCGAAAATCAAACACAAAAGATCCCATTCCCAGAACTAAAGCTTACTTTGAGATACTCCTGTTAATGGCCTCAGCCTCAGCATTTGTTTAAGCTAGGTGAATTCCTGTCATTGGCGGATTAAAGCCTTTGGGATTTCCAGATTAAGTCCTTCAAGTTACTAAGCTTTAATGTTTGTTAACTGTCAGCTACCGGATTCCTAGGCCAGCTATTCAACACATTAAGTACTCAGCATCTATATATACTTTGCTTGTCTGTCTGTTTGTTTGTCTGTCCGTTTGTGTTTAATAAACGTCAAAACCGCTGAACCCATCGGGTCAAAATTTTATGTGGGAACTCGCATGACCCCAGGGAAGGTTTTTGAATCATCAAAATTTGAAAAATTTATGTTAAATTTTTAAAAAAAAATTTTAGGTTGAAATATAAGATTAAGCTCCATAAAAGCCTTGTTTCTTGTTAATAAAAATAGTTTGTTTTGAATCTTCATGAAAAACAAGTCTACGAAACAAAAATTTGTAAGTGAATGTTACGAACAATTTTATTCTATCAAGATTCATTAAATTGTCTCTCATCAATTCTTTCATAAAAAGTGGTTGTTAACAGTTATTTAATAATTAAAGGGATTGTGAGCAGAATAAACTTCAAGTGACCCTCCATGCAAAGATGGCGATGTCTGATTTACAACGGTTTCCTTAAAAGCTTTCAACCATGAATTAGATTTACATGTTTTTTGATCCTTTAAACTGTTTATTTTCACTTGCGGTTTCTCTTCGTAAGTGTCTTGCGCATTTCTTCCTTATATGAAGCCATATTTGAGGAAACTCACAGATATAAACATTTTCCATTAAAAAAACACCCAACGGTATTTTCCACATAATTAATCAGATTAAGGTTTAAAGGGTACCACTGTCCATCAGTTATCGCCGTCTTTGCTTGGAGGACCATTTGAAATTACGCTTACAGTCCCTTTAAGGGTTAACCCTACCCTAAGAATATTTTCTATAAAGCCGTGATAGTCATTTTTAGTTTATAACCTCTTAATACTAACATTGAACAGTTTGTTTAAAAAGTTTAAATAAGTAAAAATTTGTACTTTAGTGATAAATTTATACATAGCCATTTAAATAAATCAAATATTAATGAATATACAAGTTACCGTTTCACATAAACAGCGATACTTTCTTTGGAAAATTAAGTTGTCATTTCCTTAAAAAAAATAGACGGTAAAAATCCGAATAGGTCAAAAGTCCTCTTTATCTGAAGATTGGACCAATGCCCAACTTTAAAGTAGAAAATATATTTCATGTTTTTTATCATAACCCTAAGCAAGATTTGACCAATATATTATATAGATATTTAATAAGCAATTATTAAGAAATTTCCAAAATTTTTGAAAAGAAATTTTTAAAAATTGAATAAAAGCATTAATGTTTTCTTCTCATGTGTACTTTTAGATTACTTGCGGTCGTGGCAACAAATTCACATCTATCACAGAGATATCTTCCCTCATCGTGTTTACTTTCAATATGCCTTTTTAGATCACTTAATCTCGTAGCAGCATAGTCACAATTATTACATGGATACCGCACTCCCTCGTGTTTATTTCTCACATGTTTTCTTAAATCCCGTCGAGCGGTTGAATGAAAGTCACACAATTCACAAGGATATCTAAGTCCCATATGTTTACTTTCAATGTGTGCTTTTAGATTAAAAACAGTAGTTCCTACGTAGTCACAGTCTTCGCAAGGATATCTCACAACGTTATGCATATTATTTATGTGCATTTTAAGAGAACTAGCATAAGTTGTAACAAAGTCGCATTTGTCACAAACAAATTTCACTCCTTCATGTTTGCTCTTTACATGCGTCCTTAGACTAGATGCTGAAGTTGAAGAAAATTCACATTGTTTACATGAGTGTATTCGACTCTGGTGAGAAATAGATTTTGGGTTTGGTTCAGTTGAAACGTCCAAGTATGTCGAAGGATCGTCTACAAATGAAAACTATTAACTACACTAAATCTATTTGTCACCCTCCATTTGTAGAGGGGGATGCCCAGTTCACAACGGTTTCCTTTAGACCTTCAAGTCTGATCTGTGAATCTGTTTATTATGTTCTTTGTTTCTCCTGCATATAATCAGAGTCACTTTTAAAGAAACCGCACAGTTATAAATCATCAATTTTAAAAATAAAGACGCAAATATATCTTAATTTTTTTCTCAGGAAAAGGTTAAAAGGGTACTGTTGTGAATCATAAATGCCTTTTTTTGAGGGAGTGACAGCAATTATCAAAAATGTCAAAAATAGGAATTTCCCAAATGCCTGGGTATCTGGGAAATTTCCCAAATGCCTGGGTATCTGGGAAATTTCCCAAATGCCTAGGTTTTTGGGAAATTTCCTATTTAGAAAAAAATGTAAATGCTGTCGTGTCATGCTTTTTTTTAAATGGAGTCTCACTAAAAATAACTAGGCAGTACTTTTCATTATCTCAAAATGTTAGATTTCGAGTTCGAATTAAATAAATTTTTAGCCGCGTCTCAAATTCGCCAAAAAACGGTTTCAATTGAGTGCCGGCTTAAATCTTGAAACATTAAAAACAATTTTAAGTGGAACCAACCATATTCGAGCTGTTTCTCAAATTTAAGCCGCGGCTCAAATCCTTTAAATTTGGCCTTGTGCCGTAATGTTATCATAATAAAATTACCGGATTGGATTTGGACATGAATATAAAATTTTATTTTTATGATTTTAAATAAAAATTTACTTTCTAAATCTGATTTTATTTCTATTTCCGGTTCAATGAACTCTGCTTGATCTGCATAAGTCAAAGGTTCACCTAAAAATTATCAGACAATAATGTATAAAAAAAAAATGAATAATGTATGTTCAAACACCCCCTCCCCCAGGGTGCCCCTTAAAAAAAACACATGTTTTAGGAACCATTGGGGTAAAACTAGCTCAAATACGAAATTTTAGCATTTAAAAATAATTTTCCTAAATGGCCAAGCTATCATACTGTTCTAGAAATTTAGAATTGTGATACCATTTTAGAAGCATTCAACTTGGTTTTGAGGATATTTTACAGATTTTTTTTAAATTTTTTGTTTTTGATTCATTGAGGAAAATTATTTTAAAATGCTAAAATTTCGTTTTTCAGCTAGTTTAACCCTAATGCTTCCTAAAAAATGTGTCGCACATCTGGTAATTTTTTCATATGCACCCCCCCCCCCCAAGCCCTCAAAGTTAGTGCTGGGTGTAACTGTATCATAACGGAATTTAATTTATTATTGTATAATTAAAAATAAATTTAGAATTTACTTTTTAATTCAAATTTAATTTCTGTTTCCGCTTTGGTAGTTTCTGTTTCCGGTATGATGGTATATAATTCTGATTCTACAGTGTTATTCGGGTTTACCAAAAAATTGCCTGTAAAATTTAAATGAATATATAATAAATAAAAATATGGGATCAGTGTTATTATTACAATTTTTACGATAAGCAAATAGCAGTACCTGTCTACTAAAATATTTATTTTTAAATTTTCTTTTTTATAAAAAGATGTCTCACCCTTGTGTTTTCTTTCCATGTGCCTCTTTAGATCACCAGGTCTTGTTGCAGCATATGTGCATATATGACAAGGATATCTCACACCTTCATGCTTATTTCTAACATGTTTCCGTAAATCCGATCTTCCGTTAGAGATATATTCACACTGGAGACAAGGATACCTTACTCCTTCATGTTTACATTCCACATGAGATCTTAGATTCTTAGCAGTAGTTGCAGAATAGTCACATTGAACACAGGGATATACAACTACTTCATGCTTACTTTCAATGTGTTCTTTTAATAATCGACGAGTTGTGGCAGCATATTCACACTCAAAGCAAGGAAATTTTTGTAAGGTCTTCGCCCTTCTTTCACGTTTGGGCTTTCTTTTTAAGGTTAAATGGTTGTGATCAGAAGAAAATAGGAGTTCAGATTCTGAAGGTTCATCCATATATATTACAGGTTCACCTTAAAATCAATACTTTGTTACGGAGGCAGGGGTGTTTGATATTTTCTCGAAAAATCATTACCCTCCCACCCCTTTATGAAAATAATTTTTCCCGCCATTGCATGCCAAAGTTTTATCAGGGTTTTAACAGGCTGAAAAGTGGAAAAGGATTATTAGGAGAAAATTAAAGAAATTTGAGGTCTTTAGTGTCCCATTTTTCATTTTTCCTCCTAAACCACTCACATCANAGAAAACTCCTGTATTGGGTACCCTTAATCCCTATCGCTTAATCTGAATATCCACTTTGATGTGTTGCTTAATCCTCTCTGCTGGGTTTTGATCAATGAGAGTTCTTTCATTGTGTTTAGAACAAGGGAAATTATTTTCCAAGAAAGTGACCTGAGCTTGGGAACTTCAGAATGGGATACCGTTAATCCCGACTGCTTAATCCGAATATCCAATGTGGCTTTTTAAAAATCAAAACCCGTTTTTTCACAATTAGAAAGTCCCTCCCGTCTCTGTATATTACTCTCAATTCAATGAGAGAACTCTTAATAAATAGCGTGCAAAATTTCAAATTTCCCGGCTTCTCCTACTCCAATTTGATTGGTTGAATTTTATACACTTTTCAGAATATAAACACAAGATTAGGTTAGTCTCAAGATTAAGAAAAAGCGAGGATCAAGCATTGATCTCGATATCCACCATTCTAAAGTTCCCAGCTCTGGTATTAGCAATCTTTCATAATAACTAACTGTTGACTGGTAGATACTCGCTTACTTTTGATTTCTATGCTTTCCATTTTTACATCTTCCTTTACATTAACGGAACAAAATACGGGATCTTCTTCATTTGAAAAATCTTTCCTGTCCGTCTCAAAATCCTCAATTTTATCTTCAACATTCACATCCATTTTATCTGAAAAAATACATAACTGCTTGTACTTTTTTACGTCATCTTTGCGAATTCTTAAGAAAGATAAAAAACAAAATTTCTCCTTCTTATAGTAATGAATAAAAAAGAAGAAAAAAGAGAAACAAGTTCAGGTTAGAATAAAAATGAGAAAATAATATTCGTCTCTAGGTTTCTGGCATTGACCATATTTCAACAAAGCAAATTTGCTGTTATTAAGAAATATGGTTCTATCAGCTTACAGTACTTAGGTCCATTTTCGCTTCATTAATCTCTATTTTAATCTCTATCCCTTCTTTCAATATATTCTCAATTTTGGTTTTTTTATTTATTATTTTTATTGATTTTATTCGAACAAAATATACTTTAGATAAAATGTTGCTGAACTAGATTTTTTTACCTTTCCGAAAGCTGAAAGAATCGGATTGTGAAAAAAAACTAAACTTTTTCTTTGGAAAAAAAATATTAAGACAAAGTATATTGTTGAGAAAACACGCATCAGAACTTATGATAATTCAATATACAAGATAAGATATAATTACTGGTATAGGATAGAACTTGGTTCTTGAATTAATGCATTCTCGTGAGATCTTCAACTATCTTCATCACCTCCTCGGTAGCCAGGGAACTACGCTCAGTCCCGTTCTTTCGGGTCAATCCATTACAGATATCATCCATTATACTCCTAGAATATACAGATATCTTCCATTATACTCCTAGAATATACAGATATTATACATTATACTCCTAGAATATACAGATATCATCCATTATACTCCTAGAATTTACAGTTATCTTCCATTATACTCCTAGAATATACAGATATCATTCATTATACTCCTAGAATATACAGATATCATCCATTATACTCCTAGAATATACAGATATCATCCATTATACTCCTAGAATTTACAATTATCTTCCATTATACTCCTAGAATATACAGATAATATTCATTATACTCCTAGAATATACAGATATCATCCATTATACTCCTAGAATTTACAGTTATCTTCCGTTATACTCCTAAAATATACAGTTATCATCAATTATACTCCTTGAGTATACAGTTATCATCAATTATAGTCCCAGAGTATACAGATCTAGGAAAGATTCTAAATATTAACCTGTCTAGATCTAGGAAAGATTCTAAATAGTAACCTGTGTTTAGATCAAGGAAACATTATAAATATTAACCTGTCTAGATCAAGGAAAGGTTATAAATATTAACCTGTCTAGATCTAGGAAAGATCCTAAAAGATTCTAAATATCAACCTTTCTAGATCTAGGTAAGATTCTAAATATTAACCTGTCTAGATCTAGGAAAGATTCTAAATATTAACCTGTCTAGATCTAGGAAAGATTCTAAATATTAACCTGTCTAGATCTAGGAAAGATTCTATTACATCTCCATCAATGAACCCAACACTATGCTCCTGCTTCTTCTCATTGTAGAATTCCCTAAAAAATTGAGTAGAATTGAATTAAACGTTATCAGAATCTAATTTAAAGGGACTGTGTAGTGTAGCTGTGGCGTGTAGCAGTGAAGTGTAGCAGTAGAGTGTAGCTGTGTAGTGTAGCTGTGGCGTGTAGCAGTGAAGTGTAGCAGTAGAGTGTAGCTGTGTAGTGTAGCTGTGGCGTGTAGCAGTGTAGTGTAGCAGTAGAGTGTAGCTGTGTAGAGTAGACTTATTTAGTGTGAAGGCATGATTTCAAGCGACTGTCCCATCTCCATTAATAGAGTGGCATGTCCGATTCACCTTTTTGGATCAACAATGCAAAAATTGATTAATTTTAATTGTGGCTTCTATAAAAATTGATTTGCACATTACTGCTTCAAAAACAATGAAGGATATTGTCAGATTTCAACACTTTTTAAGCTTGTAAAACGACGATATCTTCCACATTATTGATCAAATAAAGGTTTAAAGGGTACCGTAGTAAATTTGGCGTGACCCTTTTAATGGAAGGTCACATAAAGTTATAACAACAATCCTTTTAAAAGAAAGAATTTTTCTTTTAACAAGATTTGTTAACTATTTTCTCCCCTTCTTTTTTTACATTAGTTTTTGAAGAATATTCTAAATACTTTGGAGAAAAGCTTACCAGAAGAGAAGATGGGGGGGGGGGGAGTATGAATATGTTATAAAATCAAATATAAAAAATAGTTTGTCGTAAAATTATACAACGTGATCATTTTCTCATTTCTAAAAACAGCAGCATGAACCAAAACGTTGAACTTCAATTTGAAATGAAAATTGCAAATTTGAAATGCAAAATAAAGAAAACAACCAGTTCTAAATACAAAAGTCAAGAAATTTTAAGGGTCCAGCTTTCAAGAAATGATAAAACTGCTTAAAGTTAAATTTCTTCAAGAAATCAATAAATTATTAGGCATTAGGCCTTAAATTTAGCGCGATTGTGGAAAAAATAATTTTCGAAAAAAGGAGGAAAGGAGAAAATATTGGGTATACCTGTAGAATGAGTGCTGTATCCGTCCTACTGATTTAATCTTCTTTGTTAGTCTGGACTGCAGTTCTTCAAGTAGATCAAACATATCCTAGAAATAAAAACCATTGAATATATAGACCTAGAAAATATATTCACTAAAGTATATCAAAAAAGTATAATAAAAATTTATTTGATATACCTGTTTTATACGCTTTTTGGGGCCATAATAAGTTTGATGGATTCTAGTACCGTACTGACCTGAGGTATCTGTCTAGTGAGTATGATGTATTCTAGTACTGTACCTACCTAAGGTATCTGTGTAATAAGTTTGATGGATTCTTGTACTGTACTGACCTGAGGTATCTGTGTAATAAGTTTGATGTATTCTAGTACTGTACTGACCTGAGGTCAGTGCTTAGGATCCATTTAATTTTGATGCAGATCCGGATCCAGGTCATTGATCAAGAAAAATTTTATTTTAGTTCAAATATCTTTTCATACCTAAAAAAAATATTAAACATTTTAACATTTTTTTACACTATTTTTCTACTAGTTTGCACAAAATGATAATGATTTTTTTT